AATTTAAGCATTCATACTTGCAGAAGATTAATGGCAAGTCAGTACATTACAGTATAAAACATCAAACTTGGTGGCAATTGGTGGCAAACTCCCTTTGAATTTTTGGAAACCATTCAACTCTGTGAAACAAGCAGTTTCATAAGGAAAAGGCTTTAGAACCCTTCAAAATCCCACTTACATTATTTTAGCAGGCAAGGTCCATCAGTAACACTAGAAATTGGTTAACTGGGACCATAATAACTTATGCTTTCCCTCAGTCTTCCCTACCAACCAACAGAACAACCATACAGACCGTATCACCAGTTTGTCAACGCTTCTCACATAAGTAATTCTAGAATCCAGAGAACACAAACAAAAATAGCCCTTATTTTCAAGTTGCTACTGATTAAGGCCAAGAGGAGCATTCAGTAAGCCCACGCACTTCACTCTGCAACCAGTGGAGGCTCACAATGCATACCGGGTCTGCTATCATTTAGTGTCTGTCTTTCAGAATCTTGATCAACTGTGATTACAGAGCAACACATAAACTGGTCAGCAGAACGACACTCCTCTATAGTAAGATACCACACTGTAGTTACATTTATGACAGCTGTTTTGCTATATTTGGATTGATTCTGATTTGTTCTGATTTATAATGATAGTTTTCCACTATCAGATCAGTAATCCATATTAAATCTTTAGCTGAATGAAAGATTGTATCATCATACAAGACCACTGAAAACAGTCAGCTAACTACATTATTCTCTGATGAAAATAGTAGTATTCAGTATTCTCTGAATGAAAAGCCCACTGCTGAAAATTCCAAACATGAAAACAGACTCATGACAAAAACATACACACAGCATAAAATGAGGAGAGTGATGTTAATGATAATGGATTAAATCTTCTTTCCAGCCATAAGAGATAGTTATGTCTCACAGCATACACAGAATCTCTCACATTATTCACTGCTGGGTTCACCTGTAATATGGAAATAGGCAAAAACTGCCAAATCTACATGAGAACTACAGTAACCATTCTGTTGCCACTGAGTTGAATAACCATACTGCTTGGAAGTAACAACACAAGCTCACTTGTTTAAGAACACTCTAAGTTATAGAGCAGATAATAATTATAGTTTAGACACACTCAAAGTTATAACCTCCTAAAATGATGTAGTGCAGTAAGAAGCTGAATTAACTCCAAAGGAGTCTGACATACAGAGATGCATCCAAGCATTCAATTAAGTCACAGGAGCCACACCAAAGTAAGCTGTATGGCCTAATACTACTGGAGAGGGCTGCAACTGCATCAGCCATCTTGGTAGGATCAAGGGATAACAGCCTTTGCACTCCACAAATATGATAAGCACCCAATATTACCAGGAAAAACTGCCATCTCTAATTATTTTATGTGACAATTAGATATAAATCAGAAATAAAAATAAATCTGTTACTTCTTAAGATACACATATTAACCAAAGGCAACATGAAATTAAGCTTTTATACAGTGTATCTACTCCAAATATGTAAAACTGGTGAAATACAAAGTAGTCTAGAAAGCAGTTATCCCAGATTTGTTCTCTCTCATTATTTATGAGCTCATGTTCAATATCCACATCCAAGTATGCACAAATACTGTCTATAAGAAAATTTAATTCTTGTGATCCATTTCTCTAGTAAAGAAATTACAGTAATTAGGAGATATATAAAGTAGACACTTTAATTTATAAGAGAACTTCCTAATGAAGTTGACAAACGTTTCCTGCATTACATTTCAAGACTACAAGAACATTGATAATGACACAGTAAAAACACTCTCCTTATCTATGCTATTCAAAATTTTGCTGACTTTCTTACAAAATGAGAGAGACTCCAAAAATGCTCTCTCAACAAGACATTCACAAAAGACTAAAGACCCATCATTAAAACCAACTACTAAAAACCAAAGAAGTCATAAAAATCTTATTTAAGGTGATTAAATTTGGCTATCCCATATACACTAAGGATTGCTATTTGATAAGTCACAGCTGATTTTATAAACCACATTAGCTTCATTTGTGCCCTGCGTCTATTTTCATTTCAGTAGGATAATATTATCAAAATGCTGTACTACTGAGATACTGCTGCTGTGTGATTACTTCTGAGGTATATATATATAGGTATATATAAAAACTTTGCTACTGGAGTTGCAAAACCAATGCATCCTACAACTAGAACTCAACATATAGTGGTTAGCAGGAAGGGTAAGCTACACAGCCACAAACATTTCATACTCACCTCCGTATTTAAGTAAAGCTGACTACTCTGCACTAATGAACAACTACATGGCTATTAAAGTTTTCTTCCCAGCCTCGTGAAACTTCACTAGTTCCATCCATTCCACGCTTGAATCAGACCATGTCTCTTACTACGCATCTTAATGCAAGATTTGTTAGCTAGAGACCTAAGATACAAGTTTCTCCTAGGTTCTTCCCTGCCTCCTTCCAATACCAATTGAAAGATCACTAGAAAGGAAAATGATGGTTTTTCAAACAAGCACACAGGCCTAGAAGAGACTCTAAATCAAGACAATACATTCTCATTCTCAATAAAGCTACAAACAATGCTTTCTATGGAGCCCACAGTAGCAGGCCTTCCAAACATTATCTTGTTTGACCTGAACAGTAGAACATGATACAAGCAGAACCGGATTTCCACTTAAAGAACATAAATAAAAAGAGTAAGCCAATATATAGTAATTTTCAGTGAGTTATAAGGTGTTCCTCAACACTTTTTGAAGTGTATGAGATTTGAGACTGCTCAACATAGTGCAAGACTACACACACACAAAAAAATCTTCTTGCTCTTCATTTCCCATTATTGTTAATGCTTGATGGGAAGTTATAAACCGTTTACAATATAACATCTTATGACACTGTCCTGGGTTTCAGCTGGGATAGAGTTAAATTTCTTCTCAGTGCTGTGTTTCGGATTTAGTATGAGAAGAACGTTGATAACACACTAATTTTTTTTAATCATTGCTAAGTAGTGCTTACATAGTTAAGGACTTTTCAGCTTCCCATGCTCTGCCAGGTGCACAAGAAGCTGGCAGGGAGCATAGCCAGGACAGCTGACCCAACTGGCCAACGGGGGATCCAAAGAGTTAACAAGGCCGAGGTGAGCCTAACCGGGACAAAAGCACCCCATTGTGACTGGCCCAGAGACTCCGTGCATCCTTGCCATAGACCACCTCAGGAGAGGGTATTTCAAGGACCCAGAAGGGTACCAGTGGGCTTTTGGTATAGCTGCCTTGGAGACGGAAGAAATTAAACAGCTGTCTACCTTGCCCGGTCTCTCGAAAGACCCTTCTGTTGCGGGGTTGCTGAGGGTTGAGGAACAACAAGTGCCAATCACTGCCACAACAGTGCACCGGCAGCAATATCGCACCAACCAAGACTCCCTGATCCCCATCCATGAGCTGATTCATCAACTGGGGAGCCAAGGAGTGATCAGCAAGACTCGCTCACCCTTTAACAGTCCCAT